AATGGTCCTCCAAACCAGATCTACAACAACCAGTGAACTTGGAAGTGAGTCAGTGAACTGAAGTGCAAAGGTTGGATCTGCCTGAGATCAACCTCCTAACTGGCCCTGTTTGTGCCAGTCTGCTGATGTTCTGAAGTTAATTGACTTGGAATCAACCACCATCTGGCCCTGTTTGTGCCAGCCTGCTGTAAAAGGTTGGATCTGCCTGAGATCAACCTTCATCTGGCCCTGTTTGTGCCAGCCTGCTGTAAAAGGTTGGATCTACCTGAGATCAACCTTCATCTGGCCCTGTTTGTGCCAGCCTGCTGAAAAAGGTTGTATCTGCCTGAGATCAACCTCCCATCTGGCCCTGTTTTTGCCAGTCTGCTGATGTGTTGAAGTCTGGTTAGCCTGAAATCAGCCCCCTACTGGCCCCATTGTGCCAGCCTGCTGAAGTGAAGTGATCAGACTGCTGAGGTTGAATCCACCTGGGATTGACCTAACTGCTGATGGTTGAATCCACCTGGGATTAACCCAACTACCAATCCTGTGAACTGCTGTGGTCCTTCGGACTGTGTGTGCCACCCATTCCAGTGAATCAGTTCTTGCATTGCAAGTTTATCTGAAGTGATCTTGCAAACCCTGAGCACAAACGGCTCTTATCAGAGCCAAATTCCGCTCTTGTGTGGGCTTGAGACCTGGAATGGTAAACATGCAAGGACAATTAAGAGAAATGTCAATCTCCACTGAACTGGTGCAAATTGAGGCAGCTGCTGCCAAGCTGCAAAACCCAAAAGGCTACAAAGATCTGCTGTCACTGCAGAGGGATGGTGCCAGTCTGCGCCATCACCTCCTGGCACTGGAGCAAAGCCTGGAATCTGAACTTCGCCTGGAAAACCCACTTGCTGGCCAAAGAATTTGTGAGTGGCTTCCCCTGAGGCAAAGTTATTTCTGCACCCTGCAGAAGGTTTCTGAACATTTGGAAAAGTGCCAAGAAGATCCTGAGGATTTCCTCCCAATTACTGTACTGTCTGGACCCCATCAACTTCCAGATACCCAAGGAGGCAACTGCTCTCCCTCAAGGAACAGCTAAGGCACCAACTCCTACACCTCCAGAAGCTGTGAAAAAGTCATGAAGCTCACCCCTTGTAGCTGTCAAACATGCCTCTGTGGCATCTACTAGCCTGGAGGAGCACTTTCCTGTGGACCTGAGTGCTATCCAAGAGTACTTAGATGATCTGGATGGACGCCTGAACAAGAATTTAGAGGAATTCAAAGCCTCTGCAAGTGAAAGGTCTATCCGCCGCCTGGTCAAAATTACCAGTCTGCAGGAAAATCTATCTGTTCACATTGAAGATGTGCTGGGGAAATTGAAAGATCCCACAAGTGCAAAAGCCAATAGTGTACGCCTCACCCTGCAGGACTTCCATGATAGCATTGCTCTGGCAGAAACTCTGCTGGCTAAACAGCAATCTTACCCCCCTGGAAGCCATTCTGGAGGAACCTTTGGCTGATTACACCCAAGGTTGGGTGGGTCAATCTGCTGCACCAGTGAAACATCCAGTGTATGTTGAATCTAAAAAACCAGTGGCAACCTGCCCCTCATCAGTGATACCAGTAAATGAAGATCCCATGAGAGCTTGGTTTCTGGGTGAAGCTACCCTAAAGGCAATTCCTGACTTCAATGGAGCCCTTGATGAGTACCCTGCTTGGAGGAAAGCTGCCATCAAGTATGTTGAACTCCCTTCACTGCTGGAGGAGACCAAGCTGAACAACCTAAAGGGTAAACTGGGGGAAAAGGTGAAGAAGCTCTTGAGGACTGTCAATGTTCTTACTCCTCAACCTGTGGCTACACTCCTGAAGATTCTTGACCAAGAGTATGGAGATGTCAAGATGATCATCCAAGATCAGCAAGTGAGGCTGAGGAGCCTGCCAAAGCCTAAAGCTGAAAGCTATGAGGAGAAAAGAGACTTCATTCTTGGTATCAGCCAGGCTGTCAATTGACTGGTAGCTGCTGGATACAAAATCCTGGAGGATGCTGACCTCCTGGACTGTGTGCTGGAAAAAGTTCCTCACAACTGGGCACGAAGTTTTCTGGACTACTACTTGCCCAAGGAACAACACCTCATCAACCAGGTGTTTTGGATGGAGAAGAAACTGCTCTCCAGCAAACGTTTGGACCTGCTACCTGATCAAGAGCATCTGCCAGTGTGTAAAGCTTTTGTTAAGGCCTATGCAACAAGTGTGGACGTGAAAGAAAATTCAAAAAAGGCTTGCCCATGCTGCAAGACCTCTGGACATGAGCTGGGTGATTGCTCTGACTTCAAAGGGATGGTAGTGAGTGCCCGTCTAAACCTGGTGAAGCAACAGAAGGGCCTTCACTACCGCTGCCTAACCTTCCATCATGTTGGAGAGTGTTCTCTACCAGCAAGCCAACAGAAGTGCCCTGTGGACTCCTCCGGTCCCCATTTTCATCATGAGCTGATTCATGGTGCTGGAAGGAGAAAGGCTGCAATGGAAACTTCAACTGAAGGCAAGCCAACACAGGAGACACCCCCTACTGTACCTACTACACCTGATCAAACTGTCATTGCCTGTTCTGTCCTTGGGTTGACTGTGAATTCAAAGGAACCTGCCAATGAGGAAGTGACACCTCATACTTTGCGTTTGATCAAGGTCTGCATCAGGCCAAAAGGGGCCAAAAGCTGTGAACCCTTCTATGTTACAGCCCTCATTGATCCAGGGTGCAACTGGACCTTGCTGGATGAGGGTCTGGCAAAAAGGATGAATCTGAAAATCCAATATGACAAGGTACAAACTGTTACCATTGAGGGAACAAAAATTCACAAAGGAGGCAGAGCATTGGTTGACATCAGCAAAGATGGCCAAGACTGGGTCACGCCTACTGCTGTGAGGACAAAGAGAAACCTGAAGCTTCCTGGACCCACTATCAATTGGTCGAAGTTTGTGCTGGAGAATCCAAAGTTCTCTTTGGTGAGAGTGTGTGATGTGGACTTCAGCCACATTGAACTCATCCTGGGAGCTGACATGGAGCTGAGCACTCTACCTGTGAGAGCTATGGACAAGTGGGTCAAAACTGAGGATGGAGTTCTGGCCTATGAAACAAAGCTGGGATGGAGCATTGGTGGACCACTGTCTGCTGTCTACAAGTTTGTAACCAACTGCCCCACATCCATCCCTAGCAATGTTACAAGTGGGTCAAAACTGAAGATGGAGTTCTGGCCTATGAAACAAAGCTGGGATGGAGCATTGGTGGACCACTGTCTGCTGTCTACAAGTTTGTAACCAACTGCCCCACATCCATCCCTAGTAATGTTGAGAGCCAGCAGCTAGCTGAGCTTATCCAATCTGTTCCCCACCTTGCCAAGGGGGGAGCATCAAAATCTGCTGCTAACAACCTTGCTGACCTCACCTCTGAGATAACAGATACAATTGCTGAACAGCCAGAGTGTCTGAAGTGGCTGGAACCTTCTCCACTTGATGAAACTTCCTGCAATGAAGCTGCATCTGCCCATCCTGGGGCTGATGATTCACCCAAGATGCCTGCTCATCATTTGGAGAAGTTATCACTGTTGCAGAAAGACAGGAAGAAACCACCTGCCTTTGAAGAGCTGGATAATAAGCAGACTGAGCCTGTTCTGGATACTCAACCCTCTACCTTCCTGAAGAAGCATGCTGCCTTTCAGATGACTAGGGTACCTGAGCCACCACCAGAAATCTGTACATCCAAACTGGGAAACAAAGGCCCATCTTCCTTGACCAATGTGCAGGAACCCTGCACAGGGGGGAGTGTTGAAGCTGCACCTTAAAATATCCTCTGAGACTGTAGAAATTGTATTTGGAATTGTTTGATAGGCAGGCAGTTATTCTTCAGGACCTAAAACCCCATTTTAGGTCCTGAAGCTAGAAATCAAAATTTTGCGTTTTTGGGACCAATTCTGACATTACTGAAAAGGGCCCGTTCCAGGACACCCGTTACATCAGGGGGCCCGTTCCGGGACACCCATTACATAGGAAAGCCCTTCCTGGAACACTTGTTACGGAACGGGGGGCCATGGCACTTTCAGTGGCAGAATAGCTGTCACAGACCAAGAGACAAAAATTTGAATTTCGTGAATGAAGTTTCCTTCAAATGTTAGGTTTTTGACTGCCTTGATTTCCTATCTCTAAATTACTTTGTATTGGTCATTTGCTAGCAATTGAAGGGTCCTTTGGCACAACTTCAGTGCCAAACCTCTGTTGGGGTATTTTATTTGGAATGTTGTGTTAAGGAGGGACGTTGTCCCTGAAATTTTCTGAGGGAAATTTCCACCACTGTTGTATTTTGTTTAATTTGTGGTGAATTGGGAATTTCCCACTCCAATGCATTTATGTTTTGTTGGTTAGTAACAGCCAGGCCAAGTTGGCAAGGCTGGCGCATTTAGGTCAACCTTTTAAGTTGATTTCCACCCCTGTGGGATTCTGAGAAGGGAGAGGTTCCCAGGCAATAGCTGCCATTTAAGCTTTCTCACCCTTGTTTTGGAAGCTGTTCTCCCCCTCTCTGTTCCGCAACTATCATCCATTCATCTCAGGTGCTCACCCAGTGACCTAGCTGGGGCACCCAACCATTAAATTCGGAGTTATTCGACTGTTAGCTTACAATTGTGTGTAGCCTCTCATTCTAGGCACAACAATTAAATGGTCCTCCGAACCGGATCTACAACAACCAGTGAACTTAGGAAGTGAATCAGTGTTAATCAAAGTACTGAAGTTGGTCTGTGCAAGATCAACCCTGCTGCTGACTTTGGTGATCAAGACTGTGTGTGAACATCCTGCTGCAGCAACCTGGTTGTGGCTGTGTGCCCCTAGTTCAGTGACTCTGCTACTCAGTTCTTGCATTGCACGTTTATCTGAAGTGATCTTGCAAACCCTGAGCACAAAAGGCTCTTATCAGAGCCAAATTCCGCTCTTGTGTGGGCTTGAGACCTGGAATGGTAAACTCGTGAGGACAATTAAGAGAAATGTCAATCTCCACTGAACTGGCACAAATTGAGGCAGCTGCTGCCAAGCTGCAAAATCCAAAAGGCTACAAAGACCTGCTGTCACTGCAGAGAGATGGTGCCAACCTGCGCCATCACCTCCTGGCACTGGAGCAGAACCTGGAATCTGAACTTTGCTTGGAAAACCCACTTGCTGCCCAAAGAATTCATGAGTGGCTTCCCCTGAGGCAAACTTACTTCTGCACCCTGCAGAAGGCTTCTGAACATTTGGAGAAGTGTCAAGAGGATCAAGAAGATTTCCTTGAAATTGCTGGTCTGGACCCCATCAACTTCCAGATACCCAAGGAGGCAACTGCTCTCCCTCAAGAAACAGCTAAGGCACCTACTCCTACACCTCCAGAAGCTGTGAAAGAGTCAAGAAGCTCACCCCTTGGAGCTATCAAACCTGCATCTGTGGCATCTACTAGCCTAGAGGAGAACTTTCCTGTGGACCTGAGTGCTCTCCAAGAGTACTTGGATGATCTGGATGGGTGCCTGAACAAGGATCTGGAGGCATACAAAGCCTCAATGAGTGAAAGGTCAATCCGCTGCCTAGTCAAGATTACCAGTCTGCAAGAAAATCTGGCTGCTCACATTGAGGAAGTGATGGGCAAACTGGAAGATCCCACAAGTGCAAAAGCAAACAGGGTGCGCCTCACCCTGCATAACTTCCTGGATAGTGTGGCCTTGGCAGATGCTGTACTAGCAAAGCAGCCACCTAACCCTCTGGAAGCTATCTGTGAGGATCCTGTGTCAAATCGCACCCAAAACTGGCTGGACCAATCTGCTGCACCAGTGAAACCTCCAGTGTCTGTTGAATCAATGAAACCAGCTGCAACCTGCTCCCCATCAATAGTGTCAGTGCATGAAGACCCCATGAGAACCTGGTTCTTGGGGGAGGCAACCCTAAAGGCAATTCCTGACTTCAGTGGGGCTTTTGATGAGTATCCTGCCTGGAGAAAAGCTGCCAGCCTGTACATTGCACTCCCTTCACTGCTGGAGGAGACCAAGCTGAATAACCTGAAGGCTAAGCTGGGAGAGAAAGTGAAAAGGTTGGTGAGGACTGTCAATGTCCTTACCCCTCAACCTGTGAAAACTCTCCTGAAGATCCTTGACCAAGAGTATGGAGATATCCGGATGATAATCCGGGACCAACGAGTTAAGCTGAGGAACCTTTCAAAGCCTAAATCTGAAAGCTATGACCAGAAGAGGGATTTCATCTTAGCCATCAGCCAAGCTGTCAATTGCTTGGTAGCTACTGGATACAAGATCCAAGAAGATGAAGACCTCTTTGATAGTGTGATAGGAAAAGGACCTCGTCCATGGGCACAGAGTTTTCTGGATCACTACCCACCTGAGGAGCAGCATCTCCCCAACTTAGTGATTTGGATGGAGAAGAAACTGCTCTCCAGCAAACGTCTGGACCTGCTTCCTGACCAGGAGCCCCAGCCAACTAGGAAAACTACAGTGAAAGCATATGCCACAAATGTGGAAAACAACACTGAACCTTCCAAACCTTGCCCTTATTGTGAAAAATCAGGGCACACAGTGGCTGGATGCTCTCAATTCAAGAAGCTGCCAGTGGAAAAGCGCCTATTTTGGGTCAGGAAACAAAGAGGGTTCCACTACAGATGTCTAACCCACCATAAGTTTGGGAAGTGCCCTGTCTCAGACAAGCAGCAGAAATGTCCAGTTGATCCCAGCTGTACCTACCCACACCATGAACTACTCCATGGGACCAAGCCTAAGGGAACCTCAGGACCCACTGCTGAAAGGAGCCAACCTGCCCAACAGCCTGCTGAAAATGCTGCTGCTGCTGCTGAACCAGAACAGGCTGTCATTGCTTGCTCTGCCTTTAGCCAACTGTGTCCTGATGCAACTGTCCAGAGCCATGCTGAGAGAGAGGAAGCATTACCTCACTCACTGCGCCTAATCAAAGTGTTCATCAGGCCCAAAGGAGCAGAAAACTACCCACACCTGAAGGTCACTGCTCTCATTGACCCAGGGTGCAACTGGTCCTTGCTGGTTGTCCAGTTGATCCCAGCTGTACCTACCCTCACCATGAACTACTCCATGGGACCAAGCCTAAGGGAACCTCAGGACCCACTGCTGAAAGGGGCCAACCTGCCCAACAGCCTGCTGAAAATGCTGCTGCTGCTGCTGAACCAGAACAGGCTGTCATTGCTTGCTCTGCCTTTAGCCAACTGTGTCCTGATGCAACTGTCCAGAGCCATGCTGAGAGAGAGGAAGCATTACCTCACTCACTGCGCCTAATCAAAGTGTTCATCAGGCCCAAAGGAGCAGAAAACTACCCACACCTGAAGGTCACTGCTCTCATTGACCCAGGGTGCAACTGGTCCTTGCTGGAGGAGAGGTTGGCAGAGAAGATGGGATTGAAGATCCACTATGATGACCTGAGTACTTCCACAGTTGGAGGTACAAGCAAACAGAAAGGAGGGCAGATTCAACTGGACATCAGCCGAGATGGTCTAGAATGGCTCTCCCCTGCAGCTGTGAGGACCCAGAGAAATCTGAAGTTACCTGGTCCAGCCATTAAGTGGTCAGAATTTGTGTCAAGGAACCCTGACTTCCAGCAAGTGAATGTTGAAGATGTTGACTTCAAGGACATCAAACTGTTCCTGGGAGCTGACATGGAGGTGAACACACTTCCAATTGAATCTATGGACAACTGGGTCAAGGATGACAGTGGCATCCTGGCATTCAAAACCAAGCTGGGTTGGACCATTGGAGTGACATAAAACTGTTCCTGGGAGCTGACATGGAGGTGAACACACTTCCAATCGAATCTATGGACAACTGGGTCAAGGATGACAGTGGTGTCCTGGCATTCAAAACCAAGCTGGGTTGGACCATTGGAGGCCCACTGCTTGCTGCTGAACAATTTGTCCACAGCTACTCCACCATTGTCTCTGAAGAGGCTGAAGTCTCCCTGGCTGCTGAACTCCGTCGATTCAATGACTTCCTTCGGAACCCCTAACTCGGTTCTTTCAGAATAGACCGGGCTTTCCTTCATCGACTCGTCTTCGACTACCTTCGGTGGTGGTCTTCGTAAGTTCCGTCTCACCTTTGGTTCTACGAAACCTTCCCGAAGTTTGCTGATTTACCTGAATCTGAGGGGACTGCCAGATATCGTCTGAAAAAGCTCTATCCAGTGCTGCAGAAGAAGGGAATCCTTGAGCTGTATCACAAGACTGTTGCTGATGATGAGGCCAAAGGCTATGTGCGTCGTTTGAGCAAAGTGGAGGCTGAGTTGCTGAGGAAACAACCTCACTGGTTCCTTCCACACTTTGTGGTGACACACCCTGACAAGCCGGACCGTCCTAGGAGAGTGCTGGACTGTGCTGCCAAAACTAGAGGAGTGTCACTAAACTGCCTTGTCAATCCTGGACCCAACAACCTTGCAAGCCTGTTTGGAGTGTTGCTGAGATTCCGAGCTCATAAATTTGTCATCAGTGCAGACATCAGTGAAATGTTCCCCCAAGTGCTTGTGACTTAAACTGCCTTGTCAATCCTGGACCCAACAACCTTGCAAGCCTGTTTGGAGTGTTGCTGAGATTCCGAGCTCATAAATTTGTCATCAGTGCAGACATCAGTGAAATGTTCCCCCAAGTGCTGGTGACAAAAGAAGACCAGAACATGCTGGCCTTCCTTTGGAACCCTGATCCTGATTTGGAACCTGAAGTCTATGTCAACACCAGGCATGTCTTTGGTGGAAAATGCTCTCCTGCCATAGCCAACCATGCTGTGAGGTATGCTGCTGCCCAGGTAGACACTTCCCTGGCAGAAATGGCTGCTCTGCACCTGTACATGGATGACCTCTATGTGGGAGGAGACCACCAAGAAACCCTTGTTGCTGATTCCAAAAGGCTGGCTGAAGCACTGTCCAAACAAGGTTTCAAGCTGCACAAGTGGGCCTCTAATTCAACCTCCATTCTGAAGGAATTCCCTGAGGAGGAAAAGGCTCCTGGATTCCGTGAAATTGATGCCAAGGAAGGACAAACTCTGCCAGTCACCAAAGCATTAGGAACAAGATGGGACAGTCAAGCTGACAACCTGGGCTTCTCCACCCGCATTGGAACAAGGGACCCCAAATCCAGAGCAGAAGCACTGAGCCAACTTGCCAGTGTGTTTGACCTGTTCCAAATCATTGGGCCCTTCATCATGCAAGGAAAGCTGATTTTCCAGGAAATCCAGTCCACAACTAAGGATTGGAAGGCACCTTTGTCCGAAGACCTTCTGAACAGATGGAGAGCCTGGAGGGAACAACTACCATTAGCTGCAAACTTGAGCATCCCAAGATGGTTTGGGATTCCAACAGGAGTACCTGCTACCCTCCACCTATTCTCTGATGCCAGCAATCAAGGTTATGGAGCTGTGGCTTACCTGGTCATTCCTGAGCAGCATACCACATTTGTAGCTGCAAAGAGCAGAGTCATCAACAAAAATAAGGCTCCAACCACTCCACGGGGGGAGCTACAAGGCCTGGTGGTAGCCACTGAGCTGTGGCTTACCTGGTCATTCCTGAGCAGCATACCACATTTGTAGCTGCAAAGAGCAGAGTCATCAACAAAAATAAGGCTCCAACCACTCCAAGGGGGGAGCTGCAAGGCCTGGTGGTAGCCACCCGCATGGCCCGCACCATTGTGGCTGAGCTGAAAAGCTGTACCACCATCAATCTTCTGGTGTTCTGGATAGACAGCCACATAGTCTACTGCTGGGTACGCAATGACAGAAACCGCTACCAGGAGTTTGTGGCCAATCGTCTGGGAGAAATCCATGATACTCTGGAGGATCTGAAGCACCTACAACCATCTGTTAGATGGGTGAGCACCAAAAGCAACCCTGCAGACCTCATCTCCAGAGGAACTGATGCTGCAACGCTAGCAGATCAATTCAAGTTTTGGTCTGAAGGACCAGAGTTTCTCTCCAAAAGTGAGGTTGAGTGGCCTGAACAACCAAAGCATCAGGAAAAACGTGATGATCCAGAGCTGAAAAGGATTTTCCTCAACTTAGCAGCAGTCACCTACCCTGGGGTTGAAGAAGCCAGCAACATTAGACAATACTATGTCCAAAAGACAGGAAAGCTGGAGCCCAACCCCCAGGAGCTACTAGCTGCAGAGGAGGAACTGGTGCTACTCCGGGTTTTCCTACGGAAACTTTTCCTCATACGACGGTAGTTTGTCGTCGGAGTTGGTTTCGGTTTAGTAGACTTCTCATTCTAGAAGTTTCAACCGTCTGACTCTGCGTTCCTCTAACAAGACCACACCCTGGGAAAACTGAGGTTGGTGACAAGGCTCATGTATGCTAAATTCCTGAGCTGGGAGGAGCGGTTCCCATTGGTCCTACCTGCCAAGCATGCCATCACCTGCCTATTGATACGTGACTTCCATGAACAAGTGAACCACCATGGAGCCAGGACAACCTTCAGTGTAATGTTGAAGAAGTATTCTTTGCCATTCACTGCTGTTCGCCATGTGGTCTACAACTGCAAAGAATGTCGCCTCAGAAAGCCAATTCAGGTGGTAGTTCCCCAAGCTCCACTTCATCCAAACCGTCTGGCAAGCTGGACCTTTGTTTTTGAGCAAACTGGCATGGACCATTTTGGCCCCTTTGAGATCCAGAGGAAGCAAAAGGCATGGGGCCTGCTCTTCATCTGCCTGACAACAAGGGCTGTCCACATTGAAGTTTCAAGTGACTTATCAGTGGAATCTTGGCTGAATGCTGTTGACCGCTTCATAAGTAGACGTGGGAAACCCAAGACAATCAGGAGTGACAGTGGTCTGAATGCGGAAACTTACCAAGGCATAAGATTTATGCCTTTGATGAAGTCTGGTTGGACCATGACTGCCTCAATGCATGTGTGGTAGTTCAACATCCGTACAACTTCATTGTAACAACACAAAGAGGACCACATGGTGGATTCAACACTGGCCTCAATCTGAATGTGGCCGTTAACTTTGCTAACCAACTGTGGGTGGACTACGGTCTGAGGGTGAAGTTCCGCAGTTGTCAGGGGTATGTATACTCATGTTTTTGTGATATAAATTAATTCTCCAATTACAACATTTTCCCATTTATATATTTCAGAGCAGAAGAAAATAATGTGAGGTTTCCCTTGGAACCCTTTGTCAGGCACTACTGCAGTCCAGCCATCTATGAAGAATGGTTGCGTCATGGACTTCAGAAGTTTCCTGCAAACAGACCGGACCTGTCAGCAACTGAAATTCCACAACAAGTCCCACCTCCAACTATTTCTCAGTTGAAGTTGACAAGGATGTAAGTGGAAACTGGAGGTGATATTAATATTTTAACATGTTGTCATAATTGTACATGTCATTTTGAAAGACCACAAACAGATGATGAATGGGAGTACAAAATAAGAGGTGATAAAGTGCAGAAGCAGCTCCTCATCCTCTTTCAGAAGAGGATTGCATTTTTGGAGGGAAAAGTTGATGATTACCTTGGAGTTGGGTTAGTGTTCTTGACTGCTGGTCATAAAATCTGCATTTATTAAGGTATTATTTGTTGAAGCTACACCTTGAAATATCCTCTGAGATTGTGGAATTTGTATTTAAAATTGTTTGATAGGCAGGCAGTTATTTTTGAGGACCTAATACCCATTTTTGAAGCAGAAATTGAAATTTTGCGTCTTTGGTGGATCCTGAGGTCACAGAATGGAGCCTGTCCTGGAACACCCATTGCATGACTTGGTGACGGGATGGTGACAGGAGAGTGACAGGATGATGGGACCAGTGGCAGAGTCTGTCACAGACCATGAGATAAAAAGAATTCAAACTTTTTGTGAACGAAGCTTCCTTCAAATATTAGGTTTTGACTGCCTTATTTTTCCTATCTCTCAATTACTGTGTATTGGTCATTTGCTAGTATTTGAAGGGTCCTTTGGCACAACTTCAGTGCCAACCCTCTGTTAGGGTATTTTATTTGGAATGTTGTGTTAAGGAGGGACATTATCCCTGAATTGTTCTGAGGGAAAATCTCCACCACTGTTCTATTTTGTTCAATTTGTGGTGAATTGGGAATTTCCCACTCCAATGCATTTATGTTTTGTTGGTTAGTAACAGCCAGGCCAAGTTGGCAAGGCTGGCACATTTAGGTCAACCTTTTAAGTTGATTTCCACCCCTGTGGGATTCTGAGAAGGGAGAGGTTCCCAGGCAATAGCTGCCATTTAAGCTTTCTCACCCTTGTTTTGGAAGCTGTTCTCCCCCTCTCTGTTTTGAAAGCTGTCAAGGGATTTATGACTGTTGGAGAAAACTCCCACCCCCTCTTTGCTTGACTCAGGATTTCCTCCTGGTTTAGAACCAGTCATCTCTGAGCTCTGTTGGGGAAGGGTGGTTCTGAGTTGCTCCCCAATTGTGGGGAATGTATTCTGATGTATATTTTGTACTGTCCTGTTGCACTTTTGACCATGTACTTGTCTTTGTGTTGCAGGCAAACCATAAACATAATCATAATTTGTTTGCACACGCGCTTGTCTTGCAAGCACTTAAGCTTATTTTCTGTCAGGACTGTGAATAAAAGTGTGGATAACAGATTCAAGAGAGTTTGTTGCATTCTCCATACTAGTTAGTCTTTGGCAAAAAGTGAGCAGCAACTTTGTGTGGGTCTTGCCCATACCTTCTTATAACTGATGTCCCTGGTCCTCCGGTCTGAACATATACTTGACCTGACCACTTCCACAACCATCATCCATTCATCTCTGGTGCATACTCAGTGACCTAGCTGAGGGCACCCAACCATTAAATTTGGAGTCATTCAACCATTAGCTTACAATTGTGTGTAGCCTCTCATTCTAGGCACAACATATATGAAAAATCAAGTTTCATCCTAAACCTGCCCAAAATCTTGAGAAGGTAGTCTAAATTCCATCCTGAAGCATTCTAAAATCAACCCAGGAGTAGTCGACATTTCATGCAAAATTAGTTTCGAATATTCCCCAGAGTAGTCCAGATTCAATCCAAAAGCAGTCTCAAATGTCACCATACATAGCATTCAAAAGTAGTCTGAAATACCCCCAAAAGTAGCCCTCATTTCATCAAGAAACAGTCTGAAATATCTCCAAGAATAGTCCACCTTTCATACAAAAAGTAGTCTCAAACATACCTGAGAGTAGTCCACATTTCATCCAAAAGCCATGTCAAATATCCGCAAGAGTAGTCCAAATTCAAGCCAAAACTTCTCCAAAATTAGCCCAAATGCTCTCCTAAACCTCTCCAAAATATGTAGTCTGCTGCAGTCCAACTTGAGCAAGAAGCAGCAGACTACTTTTTGGAGTCCAAGAAGTAGACCAAATGTTCTCCTGAACCTCTCCAAATAGTAGTCCACTGCTTTTTGCCTAAGTTGGACTGCACTAGCAAGCATCACTGTTAGCATTGTCTAAAACTTGTCCCAACCTAATGTAAAAAATACAGTGGGACCACGACTAATCACATCTATGTACACATACTGTATAAGCAATTCAAGTTATGGACACTTGAACCTTTAAACATATGTCCCAACATCTGGACAATGTCTTGAGATACGGATACAGTGCTTTCCCAAAATCTGTAGAAAAACTGACAATTTTTATTTTTCTCAATTTAAATACTTCCTGAAAAAATTTAGGTTTTCAAATTCACAAAAATTAAAAATTAATTTTGTATAAATTATTCTCACGGACTAACTCATGGCCAAAAAAGACTAATTTTGCGCTGCTTTTTTTTTAGAGATTTTTTAATCACTTGTGCGCTATATAGGTAGACTTGCTCTTTTTCTTTGCTTCTTAAGCTCCTTCAAATGCAAGAAGATCACGTTTTCTGTGATTTTCTTCCGCAGAGTTATTCTCTGTATCTTTAAGTTGATAAATCAATTTTTATTCAATTTTGGAGACTTTATTCCTATAGTGTTCGATGAACAGCATAATCAATTGAATATGATCCCGTTGAAGCCTATGGGAAACCGCGATCCGAGTTACGGACATTCCGACGAAGGGGCAAGGTGTAAGCACGAATAAAGTCCACATCTCGAGGCTCCCCCAATGGTAATATTTTTGGGGATTAGACCTGTTCAACTTGTATCCAAAGTGCAAGCTTGCATGATGAGAGGTAGCACTTGTTGCGAATAAAATGGATGATTGGTTCCGTGCGAATTCGAGAGGATTCTTGCAGCGGTTTTCACGTGTTCACGAGCTTCAGCGTCTTCGTTGAGCAAAAATTCCAACTTAGCAAGTCGCAGCAGTTGGAGTCCATACATTGGGTTATGAGATCCCAGATATTCTCTTCAAAACAAAAACGAAAAAATCGCCCAGTCGAAATATCAGCTATTCACTGGAGTACTTGAAGGTACACCACAGGTATTTTCGAATTGGAAAATTTTACAGTACCAAAAACATTTCTAAAATTATGCGGGGGTGTATAGAGGGCAAACGCAAAAATTTTTTTTACAGAAATCTCCAATTTTTCATGTCAAGGACATTGATAAAAATTTTCGGGACAAAAGTGACTGGATGTAACCAATAGAAATAAAATGTTCGCTTCCAATCCCAATCAGAAACCCCACGTTCTTGGATAAATGGGATTACACTGAGAATTGTAGAAAACAGACAAAAGCCCTAATATATTATAATTTCCGCCCAAATTGATATCAATTAACCTTAATAAGAGTCAGCTCCTGATGGTATATTCGTTACATTTTGCTCAAGTCATTATTGTCATTAACGATACCAATTGCAATTCAACCCAACACTCGAAATATGATTATTCTCTGATCTTGGAACTTCAACAGCAGTTTTGCCATCATACGCTTATACAACGTATTTTCTTAGAAAATTCAATTGAATGGTAGCTAATACATCTGGAGAAGTTCGGCTTGCCAAGAACAACCGAACCTTGAAATTACCAGTCATATGTTGAAAATCTATCAACACAGGAACTCCTTCTCTTCGGGGACCATAAAAGGAATTTTCCACGAAGCTTTAGATTATGCGTGAACGGGAAGCTTCCGCAAAGAAAATTCTTCACGTCCATTGTTCGGAGGAAAGGTCTCCAAACGATGAGAAACAAAAATCATTCAAGAATTGGTTGGAAACAAGGCAACCCCAGGAAAAGACAGTAAAACGAACATTTTTCAAGAGACCTCGGAAAATTTTCAGTGTTGACTCGACATTGGCATGAGCATAACTGGATGGAAAAAATACAGAAAACAATCGCTCCTTGAGAAAAACTCGTGGCTCGAAAATCCTGTAGGCCGGAAGATCCCGCAGCGTGAATTTATGCAACAGAGAAAGACTCTTTTGGTAACTGAAACAGGCAAGGCTGTTTAGACGAAGTCCGAATTATTAAATAAGTCTTACTACAAAAACCACATGTGTACAAAAATCTTGTAATAACAAAATTTTGAAAGTGTGTCTTTGGGGCCTTTTCTTTTGAAACATTTTTAAAGTTTAGGATTACCTTTCTCAAGGGTCTGAGAAAGATTTAGCCTTCATTTGGAGCTTTGATGGGCTCTGAATACGAACTTCTCATACTTCGTGGGATTTTTGTACCCTTCGAGATTTTTGGGCCTCTGTCAGTTCCCCCTGCACCCAACACGAAGCTACATCAATTTTTCCGATGTACTTTTTTAAGCATCAATTCTTCTTGCATTCCTTAATTTTAAAACTCACCGATAACCGTCCAATGACAGACGTCCATATTCTAAAGCTTCGGACCACAATTCCAAATTAATCGCAGCATCGAAAGCTGCGTCCAGCGTTCGGATTCTCCAAATGTTCACGGGGTGAAAGAGCTTCGACTGACGGTTGAGCACTCCGCGACAAACGTCCAAATCTGTGAGGAAAACAGAAGATAATAATCTTGAAAATAAATTTCATCCACGCTATTATTCAATAAACGATGATGATAAAACTCACACGTCGTATCTTTCATAATCTTCAGTTGCTCGCGGGAAAACGTCTGAACGTCAAGAAAGTCAGAGATTGCTTCAACGGAGATTTCTTTATGGCACTTGGCACACAGCTCGGATTCTATTTCCTCCAGCTTGTCTTCAAAGAGGAACGGGATCGGGACTGGGTTCCCACAATGGACGCATTTCATTGAACACATATTCTTGTCGCGGACAGGATCGCGACAGAAATTGCACTCACACCTGAACAAACGTGCTGGGTTTCATTTTCCTCCCTCAAACTAAGGTACTATCAGATTTACATCGACGCTTTGGACAAGCTTGAACCGGGATCACGCATAAAGATAAATCCACAGCGCTTCGAAAAAAAAACACACACACCTGACCGATTTGACTGAACCTGATCCGCTCACCTAAAATAGTAACCAGAGTGCAATTCTCGCTTCCTATCCACCGTGCTTTGCAGTTGGTCGATGTAAGAGATGAATACACGATTCAAGTCGAAATCGGGGATTTCCTTTATAGATCTTATTTCCAGGTTGTGACCATTGAAGATTGCGACTGCATTTGGGTCGCAAGAATGGTCGAAGATGGATGCGGCCAAGTAGACTGCACTGCCAATTACAGTGAATTCTCCGTCCACTAAGTTGAAGCAGTTCACGGAGATCTAAAAAAATAAACACATTTATCGAAAACTGTACTGTGAATGTACTGAATATCTTTCAGATGATTGATTTCCGATTGACATGCGAGGATGACTGGCATAGGTACGATGATATAAAAAACAAGCAGAATTCCAGATTTCCGCGTTAAAGCTTCACATCAGTGCTTCTGATTTCAAATACAGTACCCAATCAGTAAACCAACATCGATTTTACGAACGTTAGGAACGATATACAGTAATTGAGTTAGGTAATCCGTTAGGTATAGAAAGATTATAATTTACCCACACAGAAAGACTAGCTAATATACGCGGCAGAAAGGGAAAAATTTCCATATTCTCTACCCTTTTGATGCAAGTCAAAAAATACTGTAAAGCAGAACATTACATTGAAATTGAAGTTTCCACGAGTGAAGAAGAAAAATCTCAATCTCCAAATCCCATGCATAACCCAAAAGCAGCTGGAAATTCGGATGACTCGGTTTAAAAATGTAAATCCGATTTTGAGTACTACTGACATCCACCCAGAAAAAGCTGATTATTGTGATGGACGACGCGGCACATTTATCGCGGCACAGTGAATTTTGAAACATTTCAGAAGATCCTTCGCGAAAAAAAAAGTACTGCACAGTTTTTTTTTTTTTCAAGAAAGCGAGCTTCATCGAATCTGACGGAACGCGGAGACACTTGTTGACAAAACGTTAATTGAGAACAATGAAGATCGTACCCTGCCGAAAATTCCCAGAAGTTCCGAAGCATTTGGAAGAACAAAATCAGAATGTCTAAAGAAGTCCTCCAGTACTTTCGAAACAGCTTGAAAATGCTCAAGTCGGCGTGGATCTTCTTTAATCTCCGGATAGTCTAGAAAAATCAAAATTTCAATCCCGAAGTCATGAACAACTACGGTGCGCACGGACTCACGTGACATCAAATCTCTGAAAACACGACGCCTTGTTTTCGAAATCTTCCCTTCTTCGAGGTCTTCGCCTTTCTATTGAAAAAAAGAAGATAAATCAATACTCCCTCAATCAAGCATCAATTTCGAGGAAACTATGAAATAATCAGGGCAAAGCTTCGAACTGCTGCAATTACTCAAAGAGAAACCAAAGTCTCATGAGGACTACTTCTTACGAACTCTTTTCAAATCATTCATATTTGAAAGAAAAGGGAAAGATTTTGTTACAGAATCTGAGAAACCTAACATTACAAGAAATCACTCCCAACGAAGTCATTTTGAAGGTACCTGCCCCACAGATCTGATATTGAGTTACTGCCCTGATGAATTTCTTGCTTCAACAAAGCTCTTTTACTGGTCCCAGTAGCTTTCTTGTAAAAGATTTTTCTGAAGTTCCAAATAAGAATTCTAATAATTCACTGAGATTTGTGCTGAAAAATGTGGCCCATCAACCAATAGTGACTGGAAATAAATTCGGCTGATGAAGTTTTCAAAAACTAGTGCCTACCATCAGAAATATTACCGTAATGTATTTTGCTTTTCTATGATCAACTCAGGATGCCAAAAAAGTTTTATTTTTTTATCCTCTCAAATTTTATAAATAAGTGAATTTTCTATTCAAGAATGGTAGATGGCTTTTTTTTTTAATAAATGCGTAAATTTGATTGAATAATTGCTTTCTAGAAATATAGATCAATACACATGTCTACGATGAGTGTCACCAAATTTTGCCTGTCATCTGAAAGAAGTAAATGCAAATATTTCCCGTTCCGCAAACACATGGCAGCATTCTTCCCAAAATATTACCAGAATTTTATTATGGTTACTTGGTTGATTGTTGAAATAATGCAAACTATTCCGAAGATTATCTTTTGTGGAAGCGCGAAGGGTGTGGAAGCGCGAAAAATGTCAACATTGTCTTTCTTTTGTTCACATCGCCTCAACACAAATACTTCAATTTTTTCCACAAAAAAGATTTAGGTCCACCTTTCTATCGTCTCCAGTAAAATTGATAAAATTGCTTCCTCACACACAAAAAATGTATCACGCTGTCTCAGAGTCCTCTTCACGTCTCTGATCTGATTGGTGTCTTTCATCTGCTTCGGCAGTTGGAATCCCTTTCTCACGGCAAAAAAAAAAAATCGTGGAAGCATTACTTTTTTTATTCGATCAAGTTCACAAACAATTCGAAAATTTTTTGCCATCTATTGTTCCTGGAAACAAAATCTTAATTTAGTTAATTTTTCTAAGAAACATGAATAATCTCAAGCGTAGCCGCATTGCATCGAAATTTCGAGTAAATGAACTAACTTCTCCTGGATTACTGAGCTAAGCTTTCCAGAAGCTGTGCATATGAAAACGATATATCCCACCTTCAATCTGAACAATATTTTGACCATGAGCCTCGCAAAACTCGGAAGCTCCCTGGGTGATGCCTTCTTGATCAACGAACACTCGAACTTGTGGTCCCGCTTCCATGCAGAGACTTGGCAAATATTCCCGCAATAATACACCCACTGACAACCTGAACATCGCTTCACACTCGTTTGGGCGAGACACCAATCGCATCTTTCTTTCCTCAACTTATTTGCTAAAACGTGCGCGAACGGCTTGTCGGTGAGAATAATCTCACCCGGCTTCAACGTCGGTCGCTTACCAGACGGATTCGTCAACTCTCTCATGGTCGCATCTGGATGTGAAAACTGAAGCATCGACAGTCAGTCAGAGAGGAAACAAATTTTCTTGAACGACGAAAAACCGAGAGGAAACCAAAAAATTTGAGAAAAATTTGAATTTCTCGAATCAATTTGAAAAAGTCTTCCGCAACGATTCACTGAGAGGTTCGCACCGAATTTTCATCGCATTAAAACGCGGATCACTCCATGGGATTACACCAAGGAAAAGTAAACACAGATTCGATTGTTGAAGGATTCCATCACAATAATTTCCACAGGAACACCAGTGGTTCCCACGCGTTATCGAAACAATCCGGTAACAACGTCGTCTAGATCTGATAGTGCTTTTCTAGAATCACAGTCCTTGTTGAATCACCAATTTCAACGGAAAAGATGCCAGCAAGATTTCTTCAGTCAAAGGCTCGTCACCAGGATCTATAAAGGGTTTGATATCCTTAAGGTAATTCGGATCATCATCGGTGTGAAATTCCTTCAAAGTTTCCTTAGAAACTTTCCACAGGTTCCGGGCCAAGTTCGAGTCACCCAACATCCAGTTGAGTTTGCCGAGCGTCAAGTTTTGCATCGCAAGAAACAGATCATCCTTGGTCGTGAATAATCTACAGAAAAATAATGTTCAGTCTTTGTTATGGCTCAACGGAATTTACATCGAATTCAAATGAAGTGTACCATCTTTTCCTAAGAAAAAAGGCATAGCCAGTTTTTCATGCAACTCATAAATTAGATACCCCGTCTGCGACTGCGACTACGGTGGAATTAAAATACTTTTCGCAAGCATTCTAAATATGAATTTAAAATCCAAAAACAACGCATTAAAGTGTGCAATCCAAATTATCCAATGTCATACTGTACCGTACTTCTCGACGGATAAAAATTCTGGACGAAATAACTTTTCCCCTCCTCGTGAAACCTTAAAAAAAAATTCAATAGAAGCAGCTACCTTCAGAGTAATACTACCTTACCTCTGAACCCAAAATGAATGCAGTCAAATCTTCTCAAGTCAAACTTCAAGGGATCAACAAAGAAAAAAAGTCGAGTTCGGGAAACAAGCATTATTGCTGGAAGAAAGTAGAAAAATTACAAGAAATTGCAATTGGTGATATTCTAGGCCTTAAATTGTTTCGTACATGAGTTGACGGGATGCTGAACTAGCGAGGCAATGGTTCATTCGCTCAATCAGTTTTTCACTTAATTCAAAACACACAAAGATAAATTTTCCAGAACGGTAATCGCTTTTCTCTTCATGTGTCAATAAAATATAAGACAGAAGACTTCCAGAAATTCGAATTACGGAGGTCTCAGGGGGAAAGCCTTTGAGATGGGGAGGTTTATCATGAATTCTTTCCAAGGGAATTCAGAGGGGAACTAGAAATAAATTCGAAAAACGGAAGTTCGAATTATCGAGTTTCAAACTGTACTCGGTAGCTCCTAGTCTTACTTTCAAAGTTTCAAGGGAACGCAATAGCACCCGCTGAAGTGCACTACAGTATACGAATTACGCAGAAAATGCAAACAAAATTCACGACAAAACCCAATGACCTAAATCATCACAAACAAATTAAACTGAAGGAAAAAAATTAGTCCAACGATGAATTAACCACTCAAGCGCTGAACGGCGACTTACGTGTAAATTCTCACAACCACTTGAGCATGAAATCGCGCAATTTTCCACTGTCTCAACGCTATTGCGGCTCGGACAGCAACCTGGTGGATGCGGGCGATCCAGATATTGTTCTTATGGAAAACCGTCAACAAAGAATCCAACATTTTGCAAGACATCACCAGCTGACGATTCCCTGGGATCAGCCAATGCAAGATAATCATTTGAGGACAGATTTTAATCGAGAGATAGACGAACAGAATAAAATGTTCGGCAATTACGACACTCTAAGCTCAACTTATTACAGTATTCTTTCGTCATTTTCACTAGGTCGAAAAGAATTGAGACAAATTTAATTTTCAGCAGCACTGTTCAACCCGAGTCAGAAAAAATGACAACACTCCATGAAAGATTAAAAATTTGATTGAAAAAGCAAATAGAGCAGCAAAAGTAGGGAACCCAGGGAAAAGGCTTTTGTCTCAATGCCGGGAGGTCCATCGACTCACACTTGTCGACGGACTCCTCCAAGTCGGCAGCACAATTGCTCAAGAAGGCCGCGGCGCCGTTAACGGCTTCAACAAATTCGGGGAAGGTAAAACATTCTGCCTCCGCGCCACAGGACGAACAGTTCGATCGTCCGCTAGTCAAAACAAACTCTCGGAGTTCTTCGGCATAGTCCACGTGCATCGGAACGGCGCCACCGCACTCCAAACACAAAGCCGCCGTCATCTTCCCATCCCGATCCGTATCCAAACAAAAACGGCAATCGCACGACCTGGTTTACATTAGAAAAAGATGAAACACAAGCCAAGTACAACAAGTTACACGTTCAGTGAGCAGTCTTGAGGCATGCGTCACGATGTGCACTGCAAATAATCTTCTTCACACCCATTTCATGACTGCCCTTCGGAGGCCTCAATCCTCGTGTCATTGCAGAGATCCTACAGAGAAAACTACACATTTCTTTTTCATTATTTAATGCAGCTTAAATTTGTGAAGATGTGTATAGGAAAAGGGAATTCTTCCAGATAATTTCGCCACGCTTTAGACTGACAGTATCTTCGAATTTTTTCAAGGAAATGAAAACAAAGAACCTGCTGTTCGGTTGTCTTGAAAAATACGTGCAAGAATATTTTTGGCTCCGAACTGTGCCTAAAAATATGTTCGGGAATTCTTCCAGATATTTTAACGACGTTATGGAATGAGAGCATCAAAATTCTCTTAAGAAAAAATTAAAACGGTTGACCTGAAAAATACGGTATGAAGTAAAAAATATTTTTGGCTCCGAACAGCGCCTGAGATACGTTCCTCGAGAGTTTTACGCTCATATAATCCAGCTTTTCTCTCTCAAGATACAGAATACGTGTACAATATTTTACTTCGAATGGTGACGGAAATTGCCGAAGTGATACATGTGGATTTGCCGTCAGAAATATACTTTGTCCAACGAACGGTTTTCCATTCTAGATGGACCTTCTACTCAAAGTCTACAGTACTAGACATTATAAAACGAATTGTTTTTCAGTTCAAGGTCCGCTGTGAGTATATCAATAAAAGGGTTCAAAGGAATAATATGAATAAATAAATCAACAGTGCGGCAAGTTGTGCAGATACAATTCAGCAAATTACAGTACTTTCATGCGACGCAATGATTATTCCTCGACAGAATCAATAAATTGTTCTTCGATGAAAACAAAAACTCACCCTAGACCGAAGAACACATAAAGGTTCCTTCGTCGCTCAGCGGTCGACAAAAACTCGTCCGGGGCGAATTTGACTTTGATTTGATCCCCGGCAATATCCTGGGAAGCTCGTATCCTCAACTTTCCATTCGAAAACATCGTAACCGCGTTGGCATCGCAGGAATGCTGAATTTCCGAAAGTCCGAGGTAAACCGCCCTTCCTCGTTGACTTCCGTGAACGTCCACCACAAACCTCGAGATCAACACCAACTTCAAAAACAAAAATTCACATGCAATTAAAATCGAAGATCTTTTCGAACAACGGATAGCTTGAAGACTTGAAAAAACGACGATCACATGTCACAAACCACGTGAACCGGAAGAGTGAATAACAAGATCACTATCATTTCGAAATACTGTACGTTACTGTTGAACAGTATTTTGGTCCCTTGAAAAGTGGATACCCCCAAAAAAGTGTTGCATTTACGGAACTCGGTTTACCAACTATCATTCAAGCTTCATGCGCTCTACTGAAGTACTTCTTAAAAATACTAAGCCTGATGGATAATGTTCTCCTTCGTACTCACGCGTTTGTAGACATCCATGAGCTTCGGAACAGCAGGCATCTTCTTCTCTCGATTTTTGTACATCGAGCAAACGATGTCAAGAATTTCCTTCACATACAAGAATGGAGACGGAGCCTCGCGGAGATCATACCGTTGAATGTCTTTCACACAATATTTCAATACAATGTTGCAACATTTTTCCTACGTCAGTTAATAAGATCGTTTACCTGATCGCATGCCATGAATGGTCAGCGCGTGATTCGGATGACATAGTTTGAACTTCTTCAATCCGCCTTCGTACTGGTTGAGGTGATATCCCGAAAAAGAAAGCATTTAATCATTGTCATCAAATGAAGTACGGGTATTACATTCCTGGGGTATATTTTTTCATCATCCGCACCAAATTTGATGAAATCAGTTACTAATCTTACTAATGAAACTGATATCGAAAAAGTTCATCAGCAAGCTGCCTACGGAAGACGGCAGTAAAAGTGAAGAAATATGCACAAACCTCCATCCTAAGAAGAACCTTGACCAAAAGACGTGCATGAGTCAAGACGAATGGCACGAAATCCTCAGTTTTGCTCAGAACTTCGCACTCGAATTCATGTAACTTCCTCGACTCCTTCTGGCACTTTTCACCGCAATAGCTCACGATGTGACACTCCAAGCAGCGAAAATCTGCAACAGCAGTCTCAGCGCAATGGTCACAGATCTATAAGGAATTGAAATTAGGAACGAACAAAAAATTACATCAGTATTAGCTTTTCCTAATACAGTAAGTACTTGTCACCTAAATATGCTCATTAAAAATCAAAAAACGTTCAAACAGTTGATATATACACTCACCTCATGACCTGCATGCGGAAGGGTGACAAAAGCGAATGGCATTACATCAGCAAGCATATCCCCACGCTTGAAGCGCTTTACACCGGAAGAAACAGTGTTCATTTTAAGTTTCCAAGAACCACCAACAAAAAGATTACCAATCGAAGCAGGAAAACGAACAACCAACTCAACCTGCGTGCAAAACGAGACATGAGGAAGGTGAACAAAATCGAATCCATCAATAGAGAGAGTGAGAGAGGCATGCTCGTAACTTCCGGAATCAAGAAGCAAAACAAAAAAATCCAGTGTAACCGACACGAACACAAAATCCAAAACGTCAAGATCAAAAACGCAACGAAGTCCCTTTTCGATCATCGAAGACAAGTTTTCCAACTCAGGTTACCGAAAAGTTACTTTCACCGAAGCTGACTTGAGAAAAGACATGCAATCAAAAAAGTCTGCTTCAGAAAAAGTTTCATTTTCGATCACAATTCGTCACAAGCACGCGATAAACCAAATACTTTCTTTCAAACTCGGTATGAACATGAGCCCCGCAGCTCATTTGTAATGCGAGAATGATCTTTCAAATGACAATTTCCTCCCTGAAAATCCTAATTGATAATTTACCGTAATACAGTATACAGGAACGAAATGATAAATTTCGAATGGATTTTTGTTTGTTTTGAATTTAAAATTTTCAGAGAGAGGTCGTCGTTTCGAAATGGTTTTTTTTTACATGAAAAATTTCCACATTTATACAGGGTTTACAAGAATGCGGACAGATTTTCAACCATCCGACTGGTCTGCAATCTAACACCTTGAAAAAAAAAATGTCTTCCATTTCTCGTATCCTCGATTCCATTGCTCGTAGACCATAGTAGGATTGGTATGACCGCAACACTCATTAAATGAGGTGTAATCAGGGAAATAAGCCGAAACGATCTCAGTTGATCTATGCTTACACCCCTTTCCAGAAATTCTGCTATATTTTTAGTCAATATCCGCTGATGTAAATGTTTCGAGCAACGCGAATCTCTCAAAAAAGCATCCTTTCAAAAACAGCATTGAATAGCATCGCACATAACGAAATTAACAATAAATGAAGGATTGGGACAAGTCAATCAAATCAGCAATGAATCGCGAAGGAAATTCTACAAGCTATCTGTAAGTGGTACGGGATGCTACTCTTGAAATCTCTTTATAATTACATTACTGTACTTGGAAAGAGAGCCTGCAATCCTGGAAATAAGATTTCGAAAGGTAATGAAACACTAACACGAGAGAACATACGGCAAAATGTCTTCTTTTTTCTTAAATGACCATTCGGTCAACTGAATTCACCGATATATAAAACGACGAGTCAAATGATCGTAACTCGATGCTTTTTACCAGGTGCATTCAAGACTTATCCCCGATTGAAAACCGGTCCTCTTTCCTTTGGATAACATTGTATTGTTTGAGCAACGAACACGAAACTGATTTTTTTCATCAACACATCGTACACTCGGAACACGAATGGAAACTTCTAATGCAAGCGTGGTGAAACACGAATCGCACGCGAGATCACGGAGTAAGCGTCAAGAAAACTTCCGGCGGGTACAAATACCTAGAGATTAAAAAATAAATAGAACACTCGTACGTAAAATTGCGTCAACTCGAAGATACTCACTGCACTAGTTGCATCCGGTTTCACCAGACAGCACCGTAAACCGAATTCTAATTTGTGATTACTGAAATGAACGGAAGAAAGGATCAAGTTTCGAGCATCAACTGCAACGGGTACAGTTGAACAAAACAAAGCAGTTTTCCTTTAGTCACGACTTCTGATCTTTCCCATCACGTTTCGCACTCGAAAAACCAATACGGGGAATCATCGAAACTGAGCGAACAACAATTCGTTAAATGAACAAGCCATTCAGAAGCAGCTCAACAGAGGCATGTGTCACAGCTGCCCGAATGAACTCGCTGTCATAATTCAACGCAACGGAACGGTCAAAATAAGAAAGAAAACGATTGGGGGATTTCCATTCACGCTCAAATGCACTGCACACTGCAATCCAATCATAAAACAATAATTCAAATCACAGCTTCCTTAGATATTTCCCATCAAAGGAACAGTAACGGCAAGGGTCCGCGATGAAAAAAAAAATGCTCGAAAGAAACCGAAGATTTTTGTCGTTCCTTCACAGCACCAGCGTAAATTTCCCTACGAACTGTCTCAGCGACCAAGAACCGACAAGGAATGCAATTGTGAGTTTCACATAAGAATCCAGAAAAGTCACAAGAAATGCAATCAATCGCCAATATTAATGAGATCTGGAGCGTTTCGCTCAATATTGACCCTATTGCGAAAGGGTTTGAAAAAGAAAAGTACTGCGGCAGCCGGCAAGAGAGCACATCAATCGGCCAATGCCAGGTAACATTTGTGAGAAATTATTTCTCACTCCCTACTTCAACATCGATCACTTCTCACGCGTTCTGATGCTTCTCCAACATTCAAATTAACAGATTTTTCTGAACGCTTGATATTTGAGCCTTTGTCTTCTGCTTCAAACAAGCGGGTTTGCCCATTTTATACTTTTGGGAAACGGGTTCCAAGGAAAATAGCAGAAATTTAGAGATTTTTAAAAAGTTAGACAAAGGTAAGAGTTAAAAATATCGAAGGAGGATTCTGATGGAAGCGTCGAGATAAGCCATCTATTCCCCTTCCGTTCGGACTTCTACGCACTATCAACTCCAATGCGAATTAAGAAAAGGGTTGACGAGCCCAAGGGAGCAGATGATGGTGGCCTGCTACACGTGAACTAGATTTCTACAGTCAATTTCGGGTAAAAAATCCTTTCACTGCACGTCAAAACCTACCGAAACAAACTTCGCAACGATGTCCAATAAAAGCAGAACCCGGAGAGGTTTCACTAGATTTGAGTTATCACATCAAGCGTCAGATTTGACGCCAAAAACTGGCAGGGGGTGAGCTTCAGTGTTGAAGACCCACTGATCTAAGGAAATTAACTGGTCATCACTGAACAACAAGTACAAGTACTTGAGGGTTTCCGCAAGGAAAAAACTCTGCTGCACGTCATCGTGGATGACCGGCAAACTGTAAACGTTTTTAACCCCACTGTAACCATGCTCCAGCCTGCAATGTTCTTCCAATGCTTGCACAGCTTCCCACCCCCACTCCCGGTATTTCCGATCCTTCGTGAGCCGCCAGAGTATGAAATAGCTTTCAATTGTTTCTGGTCTCAGGATATAATATTTCTCTGAATTTCGAATCGCTTTGGCATCGCTTTTTCCGTCGCCTTCGAATCGAAAGCTTTCTGGCCCCAGCTTGGATGCCGTCAAGTCGTAACTCTGGTGACACGTAGACGTTAGTTCCGCGCCCATGCGAAGGTAGTATTCGGACGAAGAATCCTTGATGTAGTGAGCACCAAGTGCGTAAAGACCGCCGGCAAAACATGCCAGATGGTCCATCTTGTGCTCCAGGCGATCGTACTTGAGATCAGACACGTAGTACATGCCACTCCGCGAAACCTGGACAAAATTCCATTTATTCATTAGCTTCAATGAATGTTTACACAAACAGAACAGAAGCAGAGATCGAAAATAAACCCTTCCTAGACTGAACTTCAAAATTTTCCTTTCCCTGAAATCTGAACGCACGGAATGAAACTACATACATTTTTCATCAAGACATCTAATCAAGAACTGTGTTCCAAAATATCCTGATGCATTCATAAAATGCGATTTTGCACAATCTACGAAAGACCCCAGCAATATCAGACCTATAAAATGTCAAATATTTACTGGTTCGAGCCAACTGAATCAACGTACAAAATTAATTCAGCGCACGAGGTATTGAGGCTAGTCTTATACTGTACAGAGATTGATACCGAAAACAAGAGTGCAACCTGAGTTTATCCTCATAGCACGAAAAATCGTTGGGCATTCCAAAATCGGGCGAAAACTTCGTTATTAATCCCGAAACATTCGGCCTAAAACTAAAAGTCTGCTATTTTCTCTGGATAAGAATTCAAGACCAGCCTCATATCTAGAGGAATACATTTCCGTCGGGTCGTTCACTTCCACGTTCTTGATAATACCACCGTATTTCCTGAATAAAGGAATTTGCGCAGGGCAAAAGAAAATAGGTCCTACAGCTCTGATGGGGCTATCAAGTACATAAAAATACGCTTCTTTTTTCAGCGTCAGCCGTCTAGAAATATTTCGATGGAATGCAAATCCCAAGATTTCAAAAATTCCCATTGACACAATTTACCATATTAAGACTAACTAGTGGAGACCCAAAAGAAGGACTGCGCTATCCGCAGGAATCACTTTCCGTATTACCGCCTATATAAAACTGAATACTGTACTGTATATTTAATCGCACTTCGCAGCCGAAAAACTTTTTACATGACCAACACATACCCTTAAACGAAAAGATGCAATCTTTAAAATATTCCCTTTTGAAAAATTTGGTGAACTATGAAAAAAAAAAATCGTTCAACGTTGCAGCAGACAACAGAAATTCGTAAGAGAAAACCTGACATAATAAACACATGGATTATTCTTATGATGAGCAAAACAATCGATACAAATCTCACCTTCAGCACAGCTTTCGAAAGCGCTTGCATTGCATCGGAGTACATCGTTTTCGCAACAACATCTGTTTTGTTGGATTGTAGCCAAGCCTTCAACAGGTATTCATAGAAACTGTCTCCTAAAGCTCCCAGGCTAACGTGATTCTGTCCAAATCTTCCCGTCTTCGGGCTAACATAATTCGGGTAAAGCCCTTTGCTCTTCGGTGCGTCCTTGAGCACATCCCGGACGTGCTCAACCTTCTCCTTGTAAACAACATTGCCGGTGATGTTGGAGAGGTAGGCGAATTCGAGGTGAAGTGTCCCAACTTCTGACAGAATGCTGGACGAGCCAGATGCCCAAGCGTAATTCCGTGATGCACCCGTTGCGGTATTAACTAATGCATACGGAATTCCGGACGGTGAGTTAAACGCTGGAAGCAGTTTATCAGCGATGTGCACAGCTTTTTCCTTGAACATTTCGTCACCCGTCAAGGCGTAACATGAAAGCAGCCCACCAACAAATCGAATGTTTGTTTCGAAGACGGATATATACGTGTTCTGAAAAGTATGCTGGAACACAATAAGTTCAATCAGCAAATTAAAATTCGAATTCTCACCAATCCTTCGAGCGTTAGGTCACTCTGAATCCACTTCCTTCCTTCTTCAAACTCTTCAGACAGCCCCATGATATACAAGGTATCCATGGCGTCCACTATCGTCGCTCCCAGCTTACTTTTCCCGAAAATTCCCGCGGAGTGGCCTGTTCTTGTCACAGGTCGTAACTCATTCTCTCCCCAAGCAAACTCAGCGTAATTTCGCCAAGCATGAACCATCATCTAGAACAGAGATATACTTCAAATGCTTGTCTCAAATAATTCGGGAATGTGTACACCTAACCTCACGGACTTTATCTCGTCTCTCCCTTATCACAGGATCGGGATCTGCACCACCTTGTTTAACGACACCATAGGTACTATGTACCACGTTCTGTCGAACGTGCTGATCGACGACGTCAATAACACTCGGGCGATCCAGAACAAATTTATCAATGTCAATATCGCTCTTCACTTTCTCTGCTAAACGAGCTTGATCTTGCAGTCTATTCAAGTTTTGCGGGCGAGGAATCTGCAGTCCTTCTGGTGGCATGAACAACCCCGAACCAGCTTGTTGCAATTGAACTGCAACTTTCAGCGCTCTATCTGAGCCAGTGATGTCCGGGAGAAAGAACACCGTCCCGAAACAGATTATGAGCAAAATGACTATTATGAATAGTATGAGGTATTTTTCTCTCGATCGAGAATATCCCTTTCGTGTCCCCGACAGAATGTCACGATTATCATGCCATCTCGGCAATAAAGGGTTGGATTTCATCGTGGGTGAAATCGTAGTCCACTGAAGACAAAAATTATGATTCTTCACGAATCACAGCCGAAAATTTTTCAGTACAACAAAACCCAAAAGGTCACTTCTTAGAAAAATTCCATCAGGATCCTGGATTCAAAACTTTCAACGAATTTGGGCCATCCTCTCCAAATGCTAGTGTCACGTCATCTGAAAAATCAACGATGTCAAAATGATTAAAATCGCACTGTAAACCTCGCAAAAAATTCAGGCAACACTTCCGAAAATTCAACAGTGGATTTACCACGAAACCCATGAGGAAGGCAATGGCAATGGTTGAGTGGATCAATCGTATGAAGACCGGTGCAGAGATCTCTCGAGCTCCGTTCGAGGTGGGCCACATGACACCTCACAGCGGTCACAGGCGAGTACAATACTGTACACTGAATACTGTACAGTACTGGTTTCTATATATAGCACTGTACAACTTTCCTGCTCCCGCGTAGAACTTCACCCTAATTCGTTCAAGTGGATTTCTGTTTTACGGTGTGACGCATCGCATAAGGAACGCCTCGCCGAACAAATAGCACGCCGAAAGAATCGGCGGACCTTTATCAACTGAATGACTCCTGGAAATAGATACGTTACCTCACAAACGTTTGCTCAAATTTTTTTTCGCACAGAACACCCCATTTCAGGTTTCTTGGAAAGCAAGAGTTCCAATGTCTTAAAGAATTAGTGAATTTTGTGTGATTTCCAGAGTTCGGCCAAATAAGACTACTGGTATCCAAGTACTAAATTTCAATTTTGTCAAGGGGTAGCTGGAAAATTTAGAACACGCTTTAAAAAATGGTAAAAGTGCATCAGATAATCTTATATTGGGGGTTTCCGTTTTAGCTTCCGTAAAATGCAGTCAATCCTTCATTTTTCATGTCCAGAAGCAAACCGCAGAAGTTTAATTTACATTCTTACTTCAGGGAACAACAAATTTTTCCAGAAACATACTTCATTTGGGAAGAAATTGAATTTAGTTCGTAATAAATGACACCACATTCAATAAGCCCAGACAAAATTGCTTAGCAGAGAAATTCTCTTTAAGAAAATCTAGCAGTTAAAGTCAATAAAAATTTTTGAAGGTGGAAATAAATATAAAGTTGTTCCACCAAACAGGCCAAATTTTATCATTGACAGAACACCATGAAAAACCAGAACTGTTCATTCCGGTGAAGTTGAACGAACCCACTACAACACTGCGGAAGATATTGACTTCGGAAGTCAGAAGGCTGGAACCTTAGATACAGACAAAGAAATCCACCATCATCATTCAGCCCATTAGAAAAATTCGAATATATTTCAAGAAAATGAGACAATAAAAACGGTCAACTGAGTTTATTAGAATATCTGTTTATTGGTCACCAATATCACATTGCAATGATGAGCTCAAGGCCAGAAAGCACTCACACCTATTCCTGTTTCACTAAGGAATATTGGCGATCAAAAAGAAACCGCTGCAACTCTCGTCATCATCTCAACAGCAACCCATAATTTAACGTATTGGCACCGTAATGACATAACTTATCCCGGCGTCCCTGTGTCAACACATGCGTCATCCAGCAACACAACCACTAGTTCAAATCCTTCCAAAAATGACTTTGGCACATAAACTTGATCGCCTTTATAGCTACTACAGGAATGCAATATCCCGGATTGCAGATTAAATAAACTTTCACGTCCATGCAGAACTGATCGCAGCATAAAGGGAAAATATTGCTTTGCGTTAATGGCTATCCCTTCTCCTCTTTTTCCTTCATATCCCTGGCAGCTTCTTTCAACGTCGAGAACGTTTTCTGCAACCAAGAATTTCCTCTGGAAGCTCCTTGTAATTCAGCAGTAACAATCGCCACCTGGTGTGTTAGATCCTAAAAAAAAAAACGTTGACAATCAAATGAAAGACAACCTCGCATGAAAAAAATTAATACAGGGGTAGAAATAAAAACCCCTCCCCCCTACGTCAACGCAAAACCAAGAAAAAAATGAGTAACCGTACCCCATGAAAATGGATTTGCTAGCTTACCTGATTCTTGCATTGCTCTTCAACAAGCGCCACTTTCGTCTGAGCAAGACTAAGCTCTAATTCACGGACTTGATTTTTATAAAAATCCCCGTCATCATCGACGCCATTCACGTCACCCGCATCAGTGGAATCAGTAACACAATTTTCTTCTGCATCTCCCGCGGCAGCCTATTACAACGAGAAAAAACCTAACTAAAATCCTTCAAACGGTTGCCAAACAAAAGGAACAAGTGCACGAGTAAATGGCAGGCAAAAATTCATGCATCGTAAAATACAGCACCTGCTTTTGGGAGAGAAGCTTTTCTCCGGACTTGCGCTGACAATCAAGCCTTTCACTCAACTGAGAGCATATCTGTAAAGGGAAAGGGCGAAACAAAAAAAGAACAGAAGGAAGAAGAATAGATGAAATGTGCAAATTATATTAGTGAAACATCCAGAGTGAGAAAGCGGAAAAACCAGTCGCATTTTATACACGGCCGAATTAATTATTCAACTTCCCTACTACCATGTGAAAAGGGTCATGTACACGTTGATACGTTCACGAGGAATATATGATTTCCGCACGCAGTTCGATTTCCAACATTTTCACACTGAATTTCTAGCAAACGTCAGAAACATTTGATAGCATCGCATATTTAGGTGATCTGATTACTGAAAAGGTTATTTACAACCTCCTGACATTTTTACAAATGTCCACTCACCTAATGGGTTCAACGATGATAACAAAATTAATTAATACCACCACTACAAATACCATTGGTAAAACTTTCGCGTTGATCCTTATAAAAAATCATTACTAGGTCTCAATGCTACCATGTTACGAAACAAGTAGACCCAAAAGTAATGCCTTCACATCATGAAGAGCTTGCAAGTGGTTCAGAGATTGAAATCGCAAATATGTACGAGGGTAAATTTTTTTTTCTGAAATGCGTGCGGAAATTAGACACACCTCCTGTGACTAACGAAGTACCATGCAAAAAATTCGAGATTTCGTACTGAAAAGAACCAGGTAAGAAATCAGTTGAACTCACCAATTTATACTGTTCAATAATTCGCAAATTTCGCGAATTCTCGCGCTCCCACTTCAGCATTTCCTTCTTGAACATCTCCTTCACCTAAGGACGAGACAATAGTCATGAGCTACAAAATGTCAAGCCTCACAAAATCATTAATTCTAACCCGAGCAGCTTCCGTCTCCATTCGTTTCTTTTCGTCTTCCGTGTCCGCCAGCATTTCTTCGGCGCCTTTCAAGTTTTTGCTCAAAGTATCAATTTTCTCATGTACCTTAACGCCACAAGGAAATTAATGATATACTCTATTAATAATCATTCGATAAATTGTGAACTCACAGTGTCCAAGTCAGCACTCAGCTGGATTTTCTCCATCACAAGCCGGTCAATTTCTCTCTCCAAACGGAGGTTATCTTCCATCAACCGATGGTTTTCCTTTTTGAGCAAAATCGTTGGGTCGATGTTACGAGAGGATTCTAGCAAGACAATGCTTATGAGCAAATTATCCGAAAGAAACTGGTGACAAAAGATGCATTACCTGCCAGGAGGTAATACTGCCGTTCGTATTTCTCAAGTTTTTTCAATTTGAAAGTTCCAGCTAGGTGGATCAAGTGCCTCCCAAATTCTTCCGACTTATGGTAACGTCGAGGAAGCCCAGTACGAAAATACCTCAAAATTCCTTCGAAATCGGCTGAGAGCAGGTCTTTCTTTGCGGCCTTCAACCGAAAGCATCACTCTTCACTAACGTAGTCGATTCTTTAACGCAGATAATTTTTCAACTTACACTCAACAACGCAAGAGCAACCTGGAAAGTTGTGTCAAGGCCGCAAAGCAAAAACAGGTCCAGCATGTGAAATACCAGATACAACGGAAACTTGGCAGTGAATAGGGTTAAAAACCACTGAGACGCGAACATGTGACTCTCCACACCCTCCTCCTTAAGATGAGCAGCTAAATCCGGCAAATGCTCCTAAAATAAAATGAAAAAACACTCATTTCAAACCGAGTATGAGATAAAATTCAGCCAAGAGACAATCATCACCTGAATCAATCCGTCCAACTGATGAAACCGAATATGCAGCAACTGGAAGTCATCGACAAACAAGTCCCTCAACCCGTAATCAAACAGGATTTTTACCAACAAAGCAAAAGCCTGCTCTTCCGGCATCTGGTGAGAAGGAAGAAGTGATTTAGGAATGGTCATGGTCAGACTTGAGAAACGAATCAACTAACATGCAACAGCAGCGCAGCAGCCAAAAAACTCAATCCTTGACAGTATCCCACTTCCTTGTCATACACCGACACGGCCTTACAGACTTTCAAGAGAGCCTCTTGTCCGTTTATTCCTCTTTCTCCCGAACCACGACGATCCTTGAAGAAATCGTGCCCAGGGAAGGTCCTACTAATATCTCTTTCAATGACTTGCTCTTGAAAAAACGGCTGTAATAAAAAATGCAGAAGCGATGAATGAATGAATGAACAAATCATATGGTCTAATTACGTACGTGAACTAGAATGTTCCAAGGTTTTGGAGGAATTAACCCAGTAATTGGTACAGTACTTCTTCCCTTATCACTGATCTTGAGATTTCATGCAGTATTCGTTTTCATAAAGAAGCTAAATCCTGAACAAAATACCAAATGAAAAAGCAAAACAGGGAGCAGGTTTTTCGAGATTTATTTTTGAAGAACCTTAATTTTACCTCGTCATGAATCCAGATTCATTTCGTAGTACAGTATCACCATTTAATTTGGACTAGGCAAATGATACCACCAAATCACTGGAGAAGGAAAAAACGGAATCTTACTTGAGCAATCAAAACCCTGTAATTATCCAGCATTTCGGGATCCGCGTCACAGCCCGCCAGTAACTGCCAAATTTCCCCTCGCAACGGATCTGGGATGCCATCCTTCACGTAATTCAATAGCTGCCGAGGAATTTTACTTCTTCGCACACGTCGCGATAATGTCAGGGTTCCATTTGGGCCAGCGACTTTCGGAGTTTCTGACGTGAATGGTGGCAAAAAATCGTGCTTCTGGGCTTTCCAGTCACTCAGAACGTCTCCCCAGTTTGTCAACTGCGCTTCTGTGCACTCTTTGCTCACCTCTCCACTGCCACTCATCACCGGTTCATCATCGTCGTCGTCCCAATCTGAATAATGCCCAAAAGTGACACGGTGTACGTTAAACTAGGGCACAAGAATGCGAAAGAGATCAATTGCGGAAACTGATAAAAAAAAATAACTACGAGCACTTGCAAAGCGTACTTGAAGCTTTCGAATAATCGTAAAAACACGGGTACATTTACTGCGGTAACATTCAAATTAGTACGATGAATACAACGGTTTACTGGAAAAGACAAGATCAGTGACTTTACGGTCTTCCAAGCTTCGAACGCGAAAGGAAGTTATTTTTAAAATGCTTCTCCCACGCGAGGTTTTAAAATTCGACCACCTTTGATTCAAAAACTTACCAGAATCATCATCGAAACCATCCGGAGTTCCTGGTACACTATTCCGACCAGTCGCTGCGGTCGCTGCTCCAGCAAGAGCAGACGAGGCAAAGTTTGACAAACTGTTCAAATTCAGATTCATCAGATTCCGCGATTTATGCTGTTCACCAGCCGATGAAAGATCAACCACTTCAAACCTTGGTTCACCGGATGACGACGGCTCGGTCTGAGGATTATAAATAATTCATCAGAAGGGAACACGATGAATCGAAGCGACGACGGGATAACTTCAGTACATTATTTGTTTCTTGAAAAACCGTAGCGCAAAAAAAGAAATTAACTAACCGCCTTTACCGTCAATACAAATTGCTTGATCAGCTGCTTCCTGGGCACGTACCAGAATCGTTCGCGTTTTGGGTATATTTTCGCGGCTGTCTCAATCGTAAAACTGCAAGCGATTACGAGAAACAAATAAAAATTACGGTATCCGTCAAGGGTGACAATTCAGAATTAGGAACAAATACGAACCGAACAGGAACGAGAATGCCACACAGCACTAAATCCACAGCCACGCTCATGAATACCAGAGAAGAGAGCTGCGTTTCCACGTTCAGTAGTTCAAAAGCCGAGTCGGAAGAATCCCAATGACCAGTGATGACAAGTTGCTGTTTTCCGTCCGGGGTTGATTCCGTGCTCGAAACCTGCCAATGAATTAAATTACTACGAAGTTCACAAGAAACCCACACTGCCGCAACACTATGAGTAACAAATAAATCAATTATACATACACAATATATTCAAGTTGCTCACCATTTCAAGTAACTGCATGTCACCGTCCCGAACGTGTTTCCCGGGACTGATCAACAGCCCGAAACAACGTTCAATCCCCAATTCTTTCCGGTTTCCGTTCGTGATTTCTTGAACAGTCATATGCACCCTTTTGTCAGTATCACAGCGCAATTTGAAAAAGTTTTTGTCCTTCGGTACACCATAGAAATTGCCCTAAAGAGCAAAGGCAGTTAGCGATAACCGACGGCGTCCAAACGACTTTTTCCTCGCCAATCATATTTTCATTCAACCATTAGCTTCAATTCCCGTAATTAAAGTTGATCGCCAACTGATTCTTTCAAATTCGCAGAAAACTCCGAAAAATCCATCACAAAAAAATGAAGAGCTGAGTCACGAACTTACACACATGCCATCAATCGTCGACATGATTTAATGCAAGAAACTTCGGTGATCAGTTTTGAAAGATCTAATTAATCTGCAACACTTAGCCCTAAATATCAAGCGTCATTGTGAAAAAGAGCACGACTTCTCAAGCAATTTAATGCTAGATAGTTTCGAACCATCATGCACTTCTCATCCATTCTTTAATAACGTACTGTAAGTGAGTCAAGGCTACAATATGAATAATGAATACACCACTTTACATTTAGTACACTGTTTCAAAATACTGTATTCAAAACTTATCAAACACACATGAACACAAGAGAATAGTAAACGAACTTGAGTCTTTGCAGTTTCGCCGAAAGGAATAATTACGGACAATCCTTTGAATTATGCATCACCGAACAATATCTACGATTCCATTTATATCCGCGAGCTATTTGAGAAGACGTAGAATCGATTTTTTTCAAGACTTCAACTAGGATGACGAGATTGCTCCGAAAACCAACAAAAAACGGTATTATTTTTCGGCGAGAAGATTATCGAAACAGTATGGACAATTGAGATGAATTACAAAACCAACAAAAAACGGTATTATTTTTCGGCGAGAAGATTATCGAACAGTATGGACAATTGAGATGAATTATCTTTATCAATACTGGCGATCTCTCTTTAATCACAACTTAAGTTCAACTTGACGTACGTCAACAGATTCCAACTCCTCAAGGAAAACCTGTATTAAAATGAGCAAGTAAGAATGGACTTGCCTTGCTATCTTCTTCTCTGATTTCAAGCGCAACTTCGAAAGTGTAACGACCGCTTTCCCCAGCGCTCGGATCAGTCAGCGATATGCAGTTACCGTCTAAAACGTCTTTAGGACGGGTGCGTTTAAAAGCCAACTCGAAGCAACGCATAACTTTCGGCACCTGCGAAAAGTTGCGGAGGATTTCATTCGACAAGCATAACACGGTGGAAAAAGCGATAAACGACAATGTAAGCAAAAATAAATACTAAATTTCTGAATGAACCTCATAGAGAAGGTATTTAAAAAAATATACTTCTACCTTTTCTAATTGAGGGAAAAGTTTCATTAAGAAACGGGGCAAGGCAGAGACACTGATTAAACAATTAAACAATCAATTTATTTTATACTGTAGTAGGAAAACTCGAAAATTTGCTCACATGAAATAATAAGTATTGTACATGAACAACACATTTTAGGAAAAGGGGAAACATAAAATGCAGTTTCAAAGAGAACGAAAAGTCAGCGGTACGTCAAAGATAATTTAAAAGTATTTCATAGTGTTCAGATCGCATCCATTATATCAGGTGAAAGGCCCTCGCAGGGCATCAATTCAACAATAAGCTCAGACCATACGAAGAAGAGTTAAATATGGGAAGGAACAGTTTCTTTGATAATGCTTCATGTGGAAATTTTTAAAAGACATGGAAGGGTTAAAACAACTTGACGCGTTTCTAAAAATATGTGACGCATCAGATAAATAGGGAACAATTCTCTAAAAGCAAAAAAGATTACAATAAAACACCTCGGACATTTCGAGAATCTTTTCTTTGATAAAAGGCAAAAAAACGAGCTCTGTAGTTTACTTAGATCCGGAACTACGGTCAACTGACTTCACATACTTTTCAAAAAAACATCGCGAAAAAAAGCTCTCAATTCATCAGTTGTTCACGAATAACGGAATCACATTACAATAATGCACGTACAACAAGAACCTGCAGAAAAGAGATTTATGCTACGCAATACGGCACAAATTCCACAGTAATGATGAATGCAAGATTGACATCACAAAATAGCGCAATTCACTCTAAAGCGCAACAGAAAAAATATGGTGAAAGTTCTGGTAACGTGAAATAAAAAAACCGGACGAGAGGGGATCAGGGCATCCTTCACGATTAAAATCCGGTTTCAAAACTTGTTCTATTGAACGAAGAGTCCTAACAGAAATGTTGATACAGGCTTGTCAACCTCACGCTTTGAATTTCGCGAATCTTTTCGGAGTTGTATGTAAAATATATCGCTTCCGTGCAAAAAAGATCCACCTTTTCCTAGGTCGAAATTTTTTATACTATGCGAAGTACTTTTTCTATATTTTCGAATACCGTAACATAAAAACAACATAACTTTATTCATTGAGATTCATCAGACAGAGAGACGGACGGCTTCATTGGTGAAGATGATACTGATTTCAAAAGGAAGACAGTTAATACGCATTCGATAAGATTATTCGAGGAAAGATGTGACTTGGATAAGACCTTTATTTTGAACTCAAGATACTGAAGTTGATGAAATACTATGTTATACACGAGTAAAACCTAGCCTCAAGATAACATAAGGTACAGTATAAAAAGTTCGAAGACAGAATTTTATTTCCTGGAAAACAGGACACATGAAAAAAGCAGTGGAAAAAAAGTACAGGACTAAAAAAATACTGTACATACACCGAAGTAGGAGGTACTAATAAGAACAACAATTTGGAAATACTGTCGAATTATCGGAGCATACGAACCGCTTCGGGGATGTGGCACCGAAGTACGTGGCACTGGAACAAAGCCGACTCCTTATTGTCTCCTTGCATACACGTGAAGGCGAAACAAGCAGCATCTGCGGTATTAGCACCCCCTTTGACGCAGAATATTATCTTGGAAACCGGGAATCTACGAATCTCTGCTTGAGTTTCCCCATCGTATATCCTGAAAAATCACAAAGCAAGCATCAAATCAGTATTTCACCAAGAATTAGTGAATAAAAATCCAATGAAGATTTCTTAGACGTGCCACACAGCACGAAAGTGCAAAAAAACGAAATCTGTCGAAGAAAAAGCGACCTGTACTGCACAGCAGTCGTTGAAAAAAAGCACTACCGAAACTATGAGAAGTACAGAAAAAGCTGGAGCGTGTGAATCCGCATGTGCACCCCGAACTAAAGTGAATACTTCCCCACAAAAACTTGTAACTACCGAAACAAAATTACATTCAACATAATGAAAAATCTTCGCATTAGTCAACTGAGAATTGAAATCCATACCGTATAAGCAACTACGGTCGTTCAAATAAACTGATACATAATATCCATGAAATGCCCAAGCCTGAATGCTCGGTAAAGGAATCAAATCGTCATGACAGCAATGTACGAAGTATCACTTCACAAAATTTATAAAGCTACAGTATTTCCAAATCTAAATAATGTACTTCCACGAGTGTGATTTTTTTTTTTAATCGTGAACTTCCAGTAAAGCTTTAAAATGAGTTGAAGAATTGAACACCAAAACATTTCATGGGCCGAACTGTCATTTAATTCATAGAGAATCCGAGAAAAATCGGGCAATCTCCTCGTTCGTCGAGAAAAATGCATTACAAATAACAGTCCAATAGATTCAGCGAATGCATTGAGACTTACACTACAGTACCGGAATTTGCATGAGGTATCTTGATTGATACATTGTAAACGTCTCCTTCGGGCTTCTCGTGATTTAGCATGATCATGCTCCTCGTAATTTCCACTTCACTTCGTGGCGCATTACAGGCTGCTACCCCAAGATAGGAAACTTGATTGAAAAGCGTGGAATCTTCAATTGGAGATTCGAACAATTTATCTGGGCTCTGGGGCAACCCAGGGTCAAGAACTTCCTTCTGAACTTCAGAAAATGGCTGGGAAGAGCACTCCTTTGTTGATACAGCTGAATCGGTCCTTCCCTCAATGTTTCCAACATTTGCAGCGGATCTCACGTCCGTTTCTGACAATGTGTGTTTCTCTTCAGGAATGGTGCATTCGACTCGATCGGCAGTAGAAATTTCCTGATATTCAGCCAAACTAAAATCCATTGCTTGAGACGGATTCGAGTCAGTGATGATCTTTCCTGGATCAATCTGGACATTTTCCGCAAGATCTAAGCCGCCCAGCCGCGTAACATCTTCATCCATCCCAGGCATCACCGAACCATTCGAGCAAACTGCTTCAGCCATCACACGATGTATTATTCAATGACAATACGTTCACTCAGAATTCAACAGCTCACAAGAATTCACGCACTCGACTAATCTTCACCGCCAACGATACGTTCAATCTGATCGAACAAAATGTCCAATCCTCGAGGTATCTCACTATCCATTACACTTCATGACCGCGGCGCATGCAATGCTAACCAAATAATGGTCGTTCTCTGGAGCTATACTGATATTGCAAAGAATTTCTTCTGCAGGGTAGCAACATCAAAAAGTCATGGAATGCGTCTGAACAGGCAAAAGGAAATTCAATCGAAAATCGATGTTTACGACGTCGCACGCACATCATGCGAAACCCGCATACAGTAATTGCAAAACACGAATCTGGACCAATACAAATGCAATCGCAAACGTGAGGAGGACAAGGTCAGAACTGACCAAAAATAATTATTCATTCGTTGCGTAAATTGTGTGTTTTTCCAAGTGCATCGCGGATTGCACGTAAGGTATTCATTTTTTCAGAAAACATGCCAAAGCCAAGATTCCACTTCACATCCTGCTGTGAGTAGCCCTGAAAATCTGCACAAAATTCAACAGCATTTGATGGAATATAAGGATCTTCCATTCGTGCACTGAGGTGAGGCCCCATCTCGCCAGAGCAGAACAATAAGAGATTGTCAGAAATAAATGTCCTCGTCTCCTTGCCACAAGGTAAAAATGGTCGTATTGATTTCACCACAACATATAAAGTCACTAAGTCACACAGTAAAAATAAGAAGAAGTGCTCAGTT